TGAACACAAATTAATTAGCATAAATCAGTTAAATGACGAAAAATTAGGTGTATATTTACTTGTGACCACTCAGTGTAGATGGTTCATAGATATTATTCACAAGAGTCCAAGTGTGTATGTGGCAGGTGTGGTTGAATTTGAAACAACCCATATGATAATGAAATGGCTGAGAAATCTGAGAGATAAAGAGATAATAAAAGTCCAAAAGCTAATTTGCATGATACAACTTACGTAGTTAACAAAAGATCAGAGCTCAGAAACTATTTAGAAAGCAAATTACTGGAAAAACAAGATTATTCACTGACTGTAAAGGCTTAACAGATTATTCAGAAATTTAAGGTAAACATTTCTTTTTTTTGAATTTGTAACGAAAAGAACTTTCATGTGGTTGGGTGAATGCAGAAAACAAAATTGAGAGAGATTGAGAGTTCAATCCACTTCCTAGACACAATCCAGAATATATTAAGAGAAGAAATATGTACATCCATCCAATTAGAAACAAAAATTAGTTAAGGGGAAGAAAAAAAAGGTGAGAGAAAAAAATCAATGATACAAGTTCATGATATCATACAACAGAAGATCAGTAAACTCGCTATCTCTGTCCAAGAGATCCTAACTTGAAGATGAATGTGAACACTCCTTACAACATACATTACAGAACAACGGGGTGGGACAATACCAAATACCAATACTATTAACCTGTTTTTATAGTAGACAGCTAAGTTCAACACTAACTGGTAATTCAAATTTGATGATGATGATGATGAGAAAACCTTGTCGAAACGTTGTACATTTGCTGTTATGTTAAACTTATATTAAAGTTTTTCTTTATTACCCATTCAAGCCATCTCCAACTATTACTAACTGGTAATGAAACCTCAAATTATCACTATTCATTACAAATGAAGTACACATATTATACATTATTGAATAAAATAATGTTTTTGCTTGTTATAATACTTAGTGTACAGAACCGACCAAAATCCCACATTTTCCCCGTATAATACATAGAGGATTCCACCATTATTAGTGAGATTAATTGCAAAATTGATGATATTTTTTTGTTTTAATATTTTATGTGACTCGCATGTAATAACATATGTTATAAAGTCATTGCCTCACAAGCAAATTAGTGCATAAATAATTTAGTAAAACGAGCTTAACAAAAAAAAGAAGGATAACCTATTTTTGGTGATTAAATATAAATGCATCTAAAACATAAAAATCACACATAATTGACCATTATAATAATTTTCTAAGGATATAAATGTCTTAGATAAACAAACCCTAAAAAAGTAGGACCCACAGATTTAATTATTTGTGTATACCACTGTATAAAAATGATACTAATATGAAGAAAATACATAAACATCCCACATTTTTCTAACATAAATATGTTACTAAGTTACACTACTTTGCTTGACAAGAACTTACTAGTGGTTTATTTTGATATTTATATATTAAAAGTCAGTACTTAAGAATGATAGCCAGTTCACAAGACAGAAATGCCCTTTCTAAATACATCTTTCTTATATAATCATAATTACAATTAATATTTAATTAGATAAAAAGTACACTTTATGTCTGTACATTTAATTGACCAAAATGTATTTAATTTTTACTTTCTATTATCCTCCAAAACTTAGCAAATTGCTCTTAGGCATTTTGCATCATTGCAGCCTTTTTTTTTTTATATGTAAAAATATACTTATGATTAATTTTGCCGCTGTGGATAAAAAAAACATCTTTTCATTGAGTTCTAGAATTCTTTAAGCATAAAACCATGTTGCTGTTAAAAACAACTTGCGTACAAGAAAAATAAAAAATTAAAGGCATGGGTACTTCATTGCTGCTGGACTAGTTCGCTAACATGGTAAAAACAAACAAACATCAAGCGTGAAGGCCATCCATTCTTAAACACAACTCCTTATGTTGACCTAAAATACATCTGTTCAGTCACATTCACAAACAAGGCTAATACGTAACTACTAAGAAATAACATTAGTATGTGGATCATTATTATTCCCTATTAACTTTTCAGCTATGAATTCTTGGCTATATTTACTAACTATTATCATATGTTTAAACACAGAACAATCTTTGAAATTTAAGTATACTTTAATAAAGCATATTAAGTTTTATGATTAATCTTTAGACGACAAAAAAATGCTATACTGTATCAATAAATTCTGAATGTTTTAAGAAAAGTAGTATTATCTAGGATCTGAAAGTTTTAGAATATTTAACAGGAATTACATAATAAGTGCAACCAATACACCAATGAAACTTTTGTTAGGGAATTTCTAACTTGAACATTAAAAGAAAAGGCTATAGAAACCTAGAAATACAAATAGTTATTCATCTTTGCTGTTGTGAATGGGAATATGCTGAGAGCCTGTATTATTTTGAGAAAGCCTATTTTAATTAAATGGGTCATTGTTGGTTTTCTTAACTTAAAGGCTAATAATTATCAATGGGCTTAACAGATAAGCGTAAAGTGATGCTCTTGATATTATAGAAATTTGAAAACTTACTTCTTAAGTGAATGGCACACAAATGTTGTAGGGAAAAAAGAATGATTCAGGTGTGATCAACAATAAAAGAACATTCTATCAAATGTTTAGATTCATAGAAAGAGTTAAAAAGTTTTCTATAATGTATTTACAGAAATTTCTTACAAAATGCTAGTATTTTATTTTGTATTAGTACCCTTAATACAAAAAGAATACTGGTATGCTACAGAGGTTGCAGAAAGGAGCAACTAGAATGATACAAACCTGGAGACATGCTTTAAAAAGTTGAACTTATTTTTGTAAGAAAGCAGAATTAGAAGCAACTTGATTTAGGGTTTTAAAAAGTTCAAGGACTTGAACAAACTACCCACAGATGGTGTTTCAGGAGAGGTTCTGCACAAGAACAAAGCCTTTGAACAAAACTTCCACTTCTATATATAATAATTCGTACACTGTGCCAGTCTATGATGCAACGAGCCTCAGACTATAGCTTTCTACCAATAGGAGGGTGACACATTATCGACGCACAATACTCCCTTTGAATATGTTGTGTATAATCAAAAGTTCATTCTTGATGAGGCAAAAGAAACAGTGGAAGTGGAGAGGAAGGGTGGGTAGTTCTGTGTAGAGGTGAGTATCTATCTGAAATAAATGTTCACGTAAGTAAAATGTTAACTTCAGAAATGTTGTTTCATCTCTCCACAGAATTGGCAGCTAGAATTCCAAAATGATAAGATAGTGAAAGGAACAGTGTTAATAAGGAAATGAAGATGTTCTCCTTTCTGATATTGTATAGCATCAGAAATAGAAGACTAACATAGCATGTCTCTAATGGGGGTGAACCTAGTGGGGAATCACTCGGTAAAAGACTGGATATATTTCATACAGGTAGTGTCCCAATGTAGTGGCTGCTCAACAAGCCTGTATATTTGTGGGGTAGGTAAATCATGCATGAGTTGTGTGGCTAGAACAATAAGTAAAGCCATGCAGTACGTGAGAAATACTTACTCATCAGAATAAATAGGTGCAGGGACTAACTTCATGTCTAGTATAACACAAGATTCTTCCAGCTGGTATAACTAGCAGTGGAGCAAGGTTTTGAGGTGAGTAGTGTTTCTTAGAAATAAGCCTTTGAAATCTACAATTCTTCAGTAAAATTAGTTTCTTAACAGAGTAGTAAACTCGTACAACGATTTACCACACAATATTGTGTGTGCTGTTCGTTCAAATTCCTTGAAACGTTTAATGTAAAAAATGTGAAAGATTGGACTGGTTATCTTAATTGTTGTCTCAGTGGACTGAATGGACTTTATTTTTTCTAGCATGGTAGCTGCAGAGTATTAAATAAAATATATTTAGTTAAAAAACTGGTTTATATCTACTCTTACCATCTCTTTTCTTAACACTGCCAGCTGGGCATCAAGCGTAGAGCGATTTGATGGTCGGGGTTGGTGGGGTTCATTAGGGGTGGATCTGTCAGTGCTAAAAGCAGGTTTTTCCTCTCTATTTGGAACCATGTGACTACTGGCGAGTTCAGGCATATTCCGACTTAGATCTTGTTGTATCATTGTTCTCATAGCATGCAGTCTCTCCAGTTCTTTCCATTGACTGCTACTAAAGTTCAGGAGCCCACTCAGGCTTTTAGGAAGAGGAGGAAGACCTTGTAGAGATGCCATGAATTAAAAAAATATCTAAAAAAACGTATATATGATCAGTAATGCTGCCAGATATTCATACCACTAATAACAATCTTAAATTAACTCTATCATGAAGAGAATCTCTATATTACACAAGAAAGAAAACCACACTAAAATTTATATGATCTACAGAACCATGCAGTTGAGAATTATCCATAAATCTCATCAGTTAAGACTAACATGAATATTATACAAAACATATTAATGACAAATGAAATAAAACTTTAATAAAGATATTACTTATAATTAACAAATCAAACATTATTGTAAAATTTAACTAAATACAATTTTTTCACTTTATAAAAGTGATTTTCTTGTTAACAATTTGAAATATATATACTTTAATTATTAAACCAAATATTTTAAATTTCCAGTGAAATGTAAAAATAAATTTACAGCCTGAACTATCATACTAGAATATATATATAGTTTTATTAACCTGCAAGTTTTTCACTTATTTAAAGAGATGTTTGTTAAGTGGAATTACAACACTAACTGAAAAAATATTAAAAAAATAGAAATTAATCATGTGAGAAAATCATAAGATCATACACACACATTGTTGCTAAGGTGCACATCGATATTTTATTGACCTAATTATTGATTATTTTTGTCTACTTGTGATATGTAAATCCACAAATTTGTCAAATATAAAGAAAGTGTTAATGAACTCGATTATTAACGCATATACAATTTAAAATAGTATAGAAAGTAATAAATAAAATGATAATTAAGCCTCAAACAAGTTAAATAGTATTTAGTAGAATATAATGTCTACCATGCCATAGCCCATTGAACTTTACATATTTGAAATTAGATGATAGTAGGATTATTTGTCTGTAGGCTTAAAAAGTCGCACACAGTTAAATGCGACTCTCTTCATGTGTCTTTGTTGATTACATTTTCAGGCCTAGTTTTTCTTCAATTTATTTGAAGGTCTTCTTTTATTCTGTGGCACTTTTCCAACCTATGTTTTTTCTTCATAACATTCTGTGTTCCATGATGGATAGGTGTCAAAGGAAGCCTAACCTTCAATGTCCTTTTTGTCTCCCCAGCATATTCTTTCCTGTATTTATACTTAAAATTAAACCAACAGGTAAATGGCTAAATTCAGCTCATCAATTAATGTGCTTTAAAATAAATTATAAACTTCTCAGTTAACTGTAAATTGACCTTCCTTCTTAAACTATTTAATGAAATATTGAGGTTCATGTATTACCATATAATTCCCATAAAGTCACTATTTTACGTTTATAGAACTTGAAACAATTTTTGATAATTAAATTAATATAGGACTCTAGCCAGTAAAACTTGAAATGAATTTTTTCAAAATTTTATTATGTAAATAGTTTGGTATTGCTAAAGTTTAGTACTGCAATATATTGGAATACATACGGCTGTATCATATTATAATGTGGGCACGAACCTTAGCCTATTTCTTTGTTATTTTTTCCAACATGTTGCTAAGTAGAAAAAACTCAAGGCAGCATACGTTGAATGCAACAAGCCAACATGGCAAATGATGTTTTACATACAATTATGTAAATATAAGGCATGTGTAGTTTCATTTAAACAAAATTATTGAAAAAATATGTCAGTTCAATATACCAAAATCATACGTCAATACGTATTATTTAGAAACAACATCATGGGATATACTGATCAATTATTTCCAGTAGATAATAATGATGCATGTGGCCCATTCAGGCTATCCCATTTTCTACTACCACCTTACTCCAAGGTATACTCCAAAAATGGGGTGATTAGGGACATTTTTCCAAACAGCTACCCATTCGTGGCTCTCGATTCTCAAGTTGTGGCTTAAAAAAAACTAAAATTGGTGGATAAGTGGCCTAATTGTAGCTCAATGCTGTAGCCCAACTTGATCTAATGGAATCATTATAGGGTTCAGAATTGAAAAAAAAAATCTATAAAGTGTCCCTGTACTGCAATGATTAAGGATAAACATTAAGATTTCCCTGTAGTCCATTTTTCTCCAACACTGGGGTGTAAAGAGACCAAATGTGCCAAATCCATTGCATTATCTATATATATAAATTTTCCTTTCTAAATCCATCATGGCTACATATGGAAATTATAGAAAACTTATCTGAACATTTTTAATTTATTTATTTTTTTCTATTAGACACTCTTGTAATGTCTCAATTAATAAATTTCTTGGTAAATATTTTGACACTGTCTACCCCACCCCAAAAAGATTGGTTTGACGACTGACTACATCGCAATCTTCTAGCACCTTACCACTTTTAATGGATTCATTAAACATTAAATTTAGTGGTCCATAATTAAGCTCTTTAGCTTCCCTAGTTATCCTACAATAAATACTATCTGGCCCAGATACCTGATCTTTGTTCACTTTACCAATCTTTTAATCTTACCAGCTCTTGCTTAATCCTAACTTCATTCCACGATATCATATAATCTTTCAGGGGAGGAGATCTACTTGTGGAATCCTAATTATGTTTTTCTAGTAAAATCTGATGAGAAAAAAAGTATTTCGATGATCAACAATACCATGATCTTCAACCAAACCCTTCCAATTCCTATTCTAACATTCTATTTATAAATACATCCTACAATTATGTTAGCTTTAGAACTAATAGCAGGCATCTAAGTTTTCCATTCTAGCCATCTCTTTGAATGCCCTAAATTTTTCCTTAATCTCCATTTCTAAGCTTAATTAAGTGTGAAATTCATCTTGACCTGAATACACTCAACAGATGAAATATCTTTTGAACATCCAGAATGCTCAGAAAACTGTGTTTTGAACAGAAAAAAAAAGCCATTATTGTACAGTGAGTGTACAGCTGTTTACCTTCTACCTTTTATAAGAAGACTACATGCTCCTGACCTTTTATGATCTCACACTCCTAATTGAAGCACAGCTTTAGAAACAGATACAGGAAACATTTTAGTACAACTGGATAGAGAATATTATAATCTATTTAGTCAACGTAGAGGAAATAAACTGCCATGAGAAGTAATTTGTGGTTTCTTGGGAAACTGAAAAGAGAACACTTGTGCAGAAAAGTATAACGTAATGTAAAACAAAGTTTGGACAACTTATAATCAAACTACAGTTTTTTAGATGATCTTGAAAACATTTTCGTATTAAATTATTATATTTGTTTCAAAGCTACAATATATATTATTTACAACATCAGGTAAGATTTGTTAGGTTTATAGAGTACATAGCTGATAGAAAAATATTCCACGATTCAACTCCTCATTGACTAAATACTAGCTGACATACCTGTTTAATTAATGTATGGGCAAGACATAAGGGCATCTAGGGGTGACATAGACAAGTCAGATCCACATTCTGAACAACTATGTCACTCCCCAGGAAGCTTTAATGGTGCATGCTAGGTTTGGTTACAATCTATACAGCAGTTTGCAAGTGGACACACACACACACACACACAAGACTTTTCTTAAATTTATTGAAGTCAAACAACCCAAATAAATAAATGTAATTATAATTCATTGAAATCAAATTATGTTTTTAATTGATTTTGACAAAGAATAATGTTAGCAACAGTAATGTTTTCTAGTTTGACTTGATATTATTTTGATAAATCTTTCTCAACTTCTACAGTTTTGTTTTTAGCATCTATAGTCAGAAGTGGTTACTACTGCAATCAGTATAATAAAGCATTAAAGTAAATATTTAAATAAATAATAAGCAAGGTGGAAATGCTTGGATATATAAAAGAGAGCATTTAGATCAACATAATAAAAAAATGAAATTCTGAATAAAAGGAAGTATTTTAATATATTTTTAAAAAGCATGCTTCACAACATGATTTTGGACTGCTCATAATATAAAAAAATGATAAAAAAAACCAAATAAAATTATAAGATTTAAAAAAGAAAATAAAACTATGTGGTAAGTTTGTTCTGAGTTTCATGTAATTTGGTTAAAAATTTCCACTTTCAGAAGGAAAATAACAATGGTCATCAGAGATACCCTCCCTCTCTGGAAAGGGTTAATAGACAGTGCTCCTCCCAGTCCTTCTACAGGCAGCATTCAATTTCAACACATAGTGGGCATCACCACTGCCAACCAACAGCATGGGCCACTAAGTAATTTCATATTTGCTTTGCAGCTTGTGATGCAACACCACTTATTTTGTGACATGTATGTATACTTACTTTGTATTTTAAGTAATTTGTCCCAAAAGGTTTCTCAATTAATACAAGCATCCCCAACCAATAGTCTGTTCCAGTTTACCCAAGGTTGTTCTTTTTCTCATAGCAGGAAGGTTAGCTTTTAACTTATCTTCACAAAATTCAATATAAATGGTGAGAAATGGTTTTTCAACAATAATTTAGCTGACTTCTCAATTTGACAAAAGCTTGGGTCTCCATCAACACTCCATGCACGTATACACCAAATTACCTAAAATACTGGGACAGTATAACCCATATCCAGCCATAGTCCCTTCTCCCACTAAATATTACATGTGAAAATCACAGTACCATTGAATGTATGGTTTATAAAGGTCGGCAGTTTCCACAGATGCTACAAGGAAATGAACTCGTAACCATTCAGAAAGAAATGGTTACTGAATGCACCACTGACAATAGTAGCAGGAGTATCAGATAATTTTAAACACATCTACTCCTACTTATAATCTAACACACAAGATCATGTATTGAATGTGCTTGTGTATAATATATGCCCACCTGTCTAAAATTAATCACTTGTATGTCTGTCCATGCAATAACCGTGAAATAAGTTATGAAATCGGGAGTTCAGGAATGCAGGCCATCAAATCTCCTGTATTCGGAAAGTTCCATGTTGCTAGATTTTACAGATGAGTGACAATCCACAATTACTGAATGCACAGTATTTGCTCTCAAGGTATACTGAACAGCAAAACCAAGATGAAGAAGAAAACAACACAAAATCAACAGAGCAAAAAGTCTCACTACTTACTTTTTTAATATTTGCTGTGGATGGATGGGTCTGGGCTTGATAGCAACTTGGAGAACTAATTGGATATGATTATGTCAACCCATTCATAGAGAAATGTGAAGGTAATACCATGACAAAGTCCTTTTTAGTTTAACTTAATCCACTGGTAATACACGTGAAAACAGTCTCACTGATACAGTGTCAGTTTCCATTATGAGCCTAATCTTGTATAAATAAATTAGGACTAATAGCGTGATACATCATACGGTGATACTGATAGTAATAACTGTGGCAATAACAACTTACAAGTAACAGCAAGTTACGTTTACCTTAGTATAGAATACTCTAAATACTAATAAAGCAGAATTTTAAAATAACGACTGAAAATTAATCTAGAAGTAGCACGATCCTAATTTACGTATCAATAACACATTACTGGTACTAGTAGGACTAATACTGGTAATATATTATATGTAGTAATACTAACTAAGCAACAAAAATAATACATTGTTAGTACTATTTAAATTTTAATATTGTGATAGGCCTAATTTATTTTCATGGTCATTATACTTTATAGTAAATTCATTTCATTTTTTCATCCAAGTATAATATAAATGATAGGTTCTTAATCATGATGTATTTAAAGTAACATTAATTAATATCACTAGTTAAGGTTAACTTGTCACCTAAAGCATTGTACTTCTTGTAATAGTAATTTTAAATTTGTACGAATCTGCAAAAATTTCATGTGGTAAAAACTAAAATGTATTATTTGATTCATAGTGGAATTTTTTAAGTTTGTGATAACAATAGATATTACGACGCAAATGACCCGAAAAAGACTGTGAACATTATACTTAACGTATATATATATATATATATATATATATATTGTATATTTCAATTTACAGCATATTTACCATAGGTTTAAACAGTTCCACTCGTGTCACTAACCAGACAGCGTTCCCGAGAATTTCGAGAACAGGCAGACATCATATAGCCTATGAGTACAGGGTACAGAAAAAAAGAGAGCTAATTTAGACTATGATCAAATAAAAAAAGAAGTGATGACATTTTTAAATGTTTCAACTGTATTTTGTTTTATTATTTTCTTTGCCATTTTCATAAACACATAAGTGTAGTATATATTTTTCAAGTCTTATTTGGCATGGGATAAATACATCTTTGTTTTAGCGTAAAGTTACACAATAAGCTCTTTGTGCTCTTGTTCACCACGGGGAAATCGAGCACCGGATTTTAATGATGTAATTTGTAAGTCTTTCAATTTACCGTGACCACTTGGAGACAAACGCGGGAGTATATGAACTGGATATAATTGCTGATTTAACATATTGCTTGATATACTTCAACCAACAGATAACTTTATAAACAAGAATTAAAAATACAGTGATTCTTTCTGTGTTAATTTACAAACAAAAGAACACATGCAAGCTGATATTCACTAACAGATGACTTTGCATTTACTTAGACATCGCAAACTTACTAATTAAACTTTTGTATAATTTTAATATCACCAACCAATTCAATCCAATTCTCAACATCCAAGGCCGGACATGGCTTAATGATTAATATGATCCGACTATAGTGTTGCGACAGCGGGGTCACGTGATGCTAGTAACACATCATATTCTCAAAGGTTCGTGAATCCTCGAGTGTTTACTAGATTTGCGGTATTCTTGTATATATAAGACCGCCAAGAAGTGACGGCAAGAAGGTAATTGAATTGCAGACAGAGATAGATACGGACAGTTGAGTCAAGCGCGTGAGGCGTTCGTTGTGAATTATAGCGTTTGTTATATAGTGACTGTGGAAATTAAGTGTATTGCAAAGTTGTATTCAGAAAGAATAAAGTAGTTTTATTTAAGAAAGGACTTATAGCTAAAGTTTCTTCGGAAATAATTTTTACGGAAAATTAACTAACGACCAGAGACGTAACAAATTGGTGTCAGAGAGTGGGAGGAAAAGAAAAAAAATGGAAACGAGAAGCGGCAAATCAAACTACAGCTTAGCAGATTTGATGGCAGCAATACAAGAACAGCAAAAGAAACAAGAAGAACGAGAAAAGAAACAAGAAGAACGAGAAAAGAAACAAGAAGAGAGACTACAACAGTGGTTGGAGGAAAAAG